ATCGGAGCGTGCGTTTAGAGGGAGTGACCGTGCGTTTGTACGTCTAAATTATATAGTAAAAAAACCCGTCAGATGACGAAAGCGTGCGTTTAGGCGGAGACTACTGTACCGTACTGTTGTAGTATACGTAGATCTTCATTATTCATCATAGATCTGCGCATACTACAATTATATATATATATATATATATATATATATATATATATATATATATATATATATATATATAGAGAGAGAGAGAGAGAGAGAGAGAGAGAGAGAGAGAGTCCGTGCCGGCTATAAGCACGCCGGCTTAAAGCACATTTCGGACCCAAGCACGCTAAACGGCTCTTACCGAATTTTTGCTACATGTATATAAATTACACGCCTTTAAGCACGGTAACTTCGGCTTCAGGCACGCTTCACTTACAAGACAGTCAATACTTTTATGATGACCCATCGAAGTTTGAACACAGTCTACACCGCAGCAGTGAGTGTGTTAAGAGAGACACAGAGAACGCAAGTGATGGAGACACACTCACACGGCGGAGAGGAAGGCAGAGAGATGCACACAGCCGCGCGCGTAGACATAGGATCTAGCCGAGGGCAAAGTTACTTTAGTTACACACAGACAAAAAAATACAAAGAGAGTCAGGGAGACGAGAAAGGGCGACTGGCTGCATTTTCACCTTTGACCCTCGCTATCCATAATCCTGATTGTGTATCACGCGCGAGGTGGGATGAATGTGGCACAGCGGGTAGTGGTAGGCCTACTGTACGCACAGGCAGCGTGTAGGCCCAGTGTGCTGTATCGTGAAGGGCCGTCTAAATTAGGTTTTCATTTCCCATTCGGCCACAAAACAAAAACTACCATGGCGGGTAAAAATAAGAGTGCACACTTTTGCGGGATCGCTATAGGCCTACTTACAATACAAACAAAGGGAAATAGCACGGGAAATTTTCTACCAAAAAATCTCTGGATTATGTCTACTTCGCACTCAAGCACGCTTCGGATTTAAATATTTAAGCACACCTATGCTTTCTCCCGATGACCGTGCTTAAAGCCGGCATGGACTGTATATATATATATATAAAACATATATATATATTATATATATATATATATATTATATATATTATATATATATATATATATTATATATATTATATATATATATATATATTATATATATTATATATATATATATATTATATATTATATATATATATATTATATATATATATATATATTATATAATATATATATATATAATATAATATATATATATAATATATATATAATATATATATATATGCGGTCCAAGCGGAGGAAGGAGGAAAGTAGCGGGAACAGCTAGATGAAGCGGAGTTTCCGCTATTTAGCGGGAAAGTGGCAGCTATGATATATATAATTTTATGACCAACAGGCACTCGAAAATGACGCAGGTGGTGGTTGCTTACACTTACAAGAGAATTTTCCTCTGGGATAATAAAGTAATTGCTACCGGTACACGAAATATGATTCTTTCAATACTTTCATAAGTCATAAACCCATAAATATGAATACACACACATATGTATTCAATTTTAAAAATAACAAGTGTCCTTTTCTTGTCTTCTATGATTTGTAACTCGTCCATGTTACTTTTTGTACATGTAACAAGCCCAAAATGTAATATTCGAAGGGCATAACAAAAGTTTTTTACCTGACCATGAAGGAATAAAGTAATAAAGGTAGAAAGCTGAAATTTGGTGCTAACATTAATGATAATCTATCTCTGTGCAGTTGCCTCCCACAGTTATACATTCTTGCCATCGGTGTATGGCCTTGAAAAGACCTTGTCAGAAAACCCGACCTTCGCCGCTTCACTTTGACGTCATCATCACTTTCAAAATGCCTTCCGTTTAAATCCTTTTTCAGTTTAGGGAATAAAAAAGAATCGGACGGGGATCGTATGTCAATTTTCAAGATAATCTGTCTTAATCTCTCCTTCTACTTCTTGCCCCCCCCCCACTTTTCCACTTGATGATGATGGCTGCACCTTTACCTTCTTTGGTGTTGGAGACGAGGGCGATTTTACGGCATTTATGCAGATTTTGACTCAGGACCGTAGTGATGGACCTATGTCTCATCCATGGTGTTGCAAGTCTTTCAAAAAATTTAGTTTTATTCCTTACATACAGACAGACCAGAGGGGGTTTACAGTCCTCTCTGATACAGACCAAACAATTCTTGACAGTAATCCACAAGTTGCACTTTTTGAGGAGTAAAAAAAAACCGGGGACCCATCTCACAGAGACCTTGGTCATATTCAAATGTTCATTTAAGATTTGTTCAAGTTCAACTGATCCAATGCTAAGTCAAGTCTATTTGCTCAAACGTTTGACTGTCACCCGCCTATCAGACAACACATGTTCCTTGATTTTCAACAAATCCTTTTCTGATTCAGTTGTAGCTGTCATAATTGAGTTTGAGTGACCATCACGGTGGTCATCTTCAATCAATGTCCATGAATCCACATTTGAATTTTTGACACCAATTTTTTTTTTTATCCCAGCATGGGATGGGCAGTCAGTTCCATTTTATATACGTATATATGGCATGCATCTCGGTAAAAATATTTTGTAGTTGCTTGCCTTGCAAGAGCAAAAACTTCTTTACTGCCCTGAGCTCAATTTTCATGTTGAAACTGGAGAACATACTCCCATTCACTTACACTACAGTGCGCTGGTGTTAAAACCAGTAACTGAGTGAAAATTCCCCAGAATTTACATGCATTCTAGGAAGTAGGCCTACCGGTAGGAAGATTGTTGGCTTTCACCACAAATTTCAGCTTTTTATCTTTATTCCTTTATGGTCAGGTAAAAAAACTTTTGGTATGCCCTTCGTATGGGTTAACCGGTTAAGTGTTGCTGATTGTTATTATATTTGTAATGTATTGTGTATGCTGACAAGTTTCTATTGAGATAAATCAACTGAGTCAGAAGTCAGAAGTGCCGCCTCTTCTAAACAACCTTTGTGATGAAAGGTGTGTTCCTCTAAATTAATCTTGCCCCATAAAATTTCCTATTAAATATTCGTTGACGTCAGTGGTGCTCATCAAAATCTTTTTCTCGGGCCCAGCAATCTATTTCTTAACAAGTCCCAGCAGGTAAGTTGAGATCCAGATGAGTCGATCTTATTTCACACCCCCAACATCAACTCTTCCGGAGCAGTGTGATCATAGTATTCTGTTTCAATTTCAAGACAGATGGGGACAATTAAAATAGTATATTGTGATTCGTAGGATTCATGCCGCTTAGAATTACCGGTAGAAGTTAGTGTTCCGGTATGACAACACAAAAGGGCATATTAAAAAGGGAGAGAAGGAACAGGAACCATAACCAGCCACTGGAAGAGTGAACTGCAAGTGCACGTCCAAACTGAACTTATTCTCTACATGTACAAATCAAATTTAGGGACACAGAAGAACCTGCGAACAACCACATATATCCAGATGACCATGTTCACCCTAGCACTCTTTTTGGACATTTAACTTAAGATACCGCTCAAGGTGGTCACATTTCTTCGACAATATGTTTTTTAGTTTTAGTACTTTTACTTTTAGTAGAGGTTTTACGGCGCTCGCAACTGCATAAGGTCAATTGAGCGCCAGAAGATTAGGGTAGGTGTTACAAGAGAGTAACAAACATAAAAAAGGAGGGGAGATTAGGACGATAGATGCTGGATAGGAAAGAAGAAGCAAACCACACCAGAGCACCAGCCAACCACCCACGACAATGAGTACAAGTCTCTTTTAGAGTTTTACTGCACTTGCAACACAATAAGGTCATATAAGTGCCGAAGATTAGAGGTGTTACTGTACAAGAGAGTAACAAACACAAAAAAGAGCAGAGATAAGGATGATAAAATGTAGATGTTTGAATGATAGGAAAGAAGAAGCAAACCACACCAGTGCACCCTTTGGAAAGGGTCGACTTCATTTTAATAGTAGAAACTACTTTATGTCACTCACAACATAATGTCTTTCAAGTGCAGAAGATTAGACGTTTTACAAGAGAGTAAAACACATAAAAGGAAGAGGACAAAGAACGATAGTGTTTGAAATAAAAAAGAAAAAAGATCCAGAGCACCCCCCCGACCGGGTTGGACTTCCAAGGAAATAAAAAGACATACCAACATTCAAACCATATTTAGTACGGGTAAGACAACCAGATACTTCCTTCAGAAAAGTAGGGGACTTCCTGGTGCCTCCACCTTATCCGAACACCCAAACTCATCTGGTACCAGCAGTGGTGGGTGAACAAATTGCTAACACCCCCCCCCCCCCCCCCCCATCTGCAGGTTTGTGCAGACCAGACCCACATCTCAGGGGTTAGGTGCTTTACCACAGCACGTAAAAGACCCGAGTCTAATTCCCGCGAGAGGGGATTTTTTTTATTACAAGTATCGAGTTCTTTCTGCTGAAATGTCCCCAAGCTCAGGTCGTTTTTGATTTTGTAAGTGTTTTACGGCGCTCGCAACTGCATAAGGTCATATGAGCGCCAGAAGATTAGAAGTGTTACAAGAGAGTAACGAACATAAAAAGAAGAAGCGGAGATAAGGAGGATAGAAGTCTCATAGGAAAGAAGAAGCAAACCATACCAGAGTACCCGCCAACCACTCACAGCTCAGGTTGAAGCCAGCCCCCTAAATGATATAAACTGTGTTTATGGGGACGTAAAAACATCCACATCATTGCATGTCTTTGAAAATAATCAACAACTCCTCACACATTCCTTTGCCACACCGAGGGTCAGAAACCAGACAGATGCAGTATCATGCACTCAACAGTATTATAAAAAGTGCAGGGCCACACAGTAGTCTCAGCCTTCATTAGAAGACCACCATGTAGATTCAGACAGACAAAATGGACGGATGGGGGGAGAGAGAAAAGACAGAACCAAAACACACCAGACAAAAGACAACCACAGGACACACAGAAGATCAGGGGGAAAGATATAAAAGACAATATTCAGTGTGGTAGTTTTCAATATTTATTTCCTCATGTGTCCATTTACTTCTTCTTGGCCACACCAACGGTTCTTCCTCTACGTCCAGTGGTCTTGGTGTGTTGACCTCTCACACGCAGACTGAAAAAAAAAAGCACAAGACAATGTACTACATCAGTAAAAAGCCAATTTTACATCTCAAGTGCCAACTTGCAAAGCTTCCATATATCAAATCAAAACAAATATAAGCCAAATATACCACGAAAACAGGAAAGAAATTTTCTAACTAAAGAGAGAGAAAGGAGAGAGTGAAACCATCAGCAGAGGAAACATCTTCAAAGGCCTGTTTAGAAATTGGTAATAATGCAACAATTAGTCTAACTAAGAGCAAACAGATGTGTGCAAAAGCATGTTGTCTCCATCCGAATCAACAAGCCAAGTAGCGACCTGATGGTGTAAAGGAAGACATTTACTGTAGCTGTCTTGATTATGGCATTGACCTGTACAGACAATGCTTTACATGCAGAGACAGCATGACATTTAAGAAACGTTCCCAACACCTGAATATTCGAGAATATACAGACAGAATAGGATTGTAACAAGTAAGCTTAAGAGACATACAAAATATAAATGTAACATGATCTGGTGGCACCAGGCTCTCATTAATTTTTGGTCACACAGGGTTATCGGCAGCACCTCAAAGCCTGTTCATTTTCATGGCATTTAGTTTTAGTAAGACTTTTACGGCACTTGCAATACAATAAGGTCATACAGCAGAACTCTGATTCAACGAGGTCGCCGGGCCTGACCTAAAATCTCATTGAATCGGAGTGTTCGTTATAGCAAACATGAGGCTTTGAGTCAATAATTAAGGGCATTGAGCAAGTAATGTATAAAGAGAAGTCACAAGTAGTGCCTGGAAGGCCTGCATATTATGAGATAAACAAACAAACAAACCCAATTCGTTCAAATGAACACGCCTGTACAATCTCGATTGTTTACCAAAAAGTTGTGTTGCTGTGTAGAGCCTAGCGTACGGCAACTCTTGATTCCATAGACCAGCGCACAATTCATGATGTAGATCTACGCAAAGACTAGCTTATCATTGTAATAATGATCAGTTGCAGAGGGAAAAAAACAATAAACCGACACGTTTGTATCTGTAACGTTTAACGCCCTGACGGCTAGTGCCCCCCCCACCCACAAGTGTGCAGGCCGCCCCATCCGACCCCAACACAAGCCAGAGTAGACGTGTGCGTGTGCCAACAACGCATGAGTTGGTATGAAAAAAAAAAGGCCCCTGATTGGTCGCATGCAATCAGTTAAGTGAATAATGTTTCACGATGCAGGTATAATGGATGGTTTCCGGGTATAAATAAAGTTTGTTCTGGAAGTAACATGAGCGAAGCCACGTCTGCAGGGGCTGTTCACCCTGGAAAGGACCTTTATTGAACCCGAGCTTGCTAATTTCAGTGTTCGTTGAATCCGCGATATTTTTGTATATATATATATTATTTTTAAAAATAAAAAATATGGGGGAATCTATCTCATCAAATGTCCCACTGTGTAAGTGTCGAAGATAAGAGGTTACAAGAGAGTAACAAACATAAAAAAGGAGGAGGAGAGATCAGGACGATAGATGTTTGATATGAAGGAGCAAACCACACCCGAGCACCCGAAACTATTTATACGTCACAGACAGGAAACCTCTTCAAAGGGCTGTTTAGAAATTGGGAAAAGGCAACGATTATTCTAAGACTACTAAGAGCAAACAGATGTGTACAAAAACGTGTTGTCTCCATCCGAATCAACAAGCCAAGAAGCGACCTGATGGTGTAAAGGAAGACATTTACTGTAGCTGTCTTGATTATGGCATTGACCTGTACAGACAATGCTTCACATGCAGAGACAGCATGACATTTAAAAAACGATCCCAACATCTCAACATTCGAGAATATACTGACAGAATGGGATTGTAACAAGTAAGCTCAAGGGACATACGAAATATAAAGGGGGCACAATGTAGTGGAACCAGGTTCTCGTTGATTTTTGGAACTATCTCAAAGCCTGTCAATTTGCCTTGCTTTTAGTTTTAGTAAGAGTACAACGGCACTCGAAACACAATAAGGTCATATAAGTGCTGAAGACTTGAGGAGTTACAAGAGAGTAATAAACATAAAAAAGGAGAGACCAGGACGATAGATATTTGATAGAAAAGGAGCAAATCACACCAGAGCACCCGCCAACCACCCACGCCTCGCTTTTGAAGAAAAAATTTTCTTTTAAAAACGTAATAAGTCGATATATTTACGACAGAAGCATGTGAGGGTAGCCTAGTTTCAGAGACAAAATGGCAGCCAAAGTTCGGTAACTCCCATACCCAGAGAGTCCCTGAAAACTGCCCCCCCCCCCCCCCGCAAGTGATTGCAGGCAGGTATGGGTGTAATGAGTTAAGGAATGTAAGTTGTCACAGGATCCTCAGTGCAGACTTGAAACCACACCAAGAGTTTTAAACAAAGTTAGTTTCTGTAGCCCTTGATAAAAAAAAACCACAAAGACAATGTATAATGCCAGTGTGGTTGTGAGCCAGGCTGGAGAAGGAAGCAATTGCATTTATAATAGTATTAGTATACAGTCAAGATTTTACCACCAGAAAGACAACTATACCCCTTACAAACTGCTCCACTTAAAAAAAAAAAAAAAAAAAGCATGTTTCTAAACAATGTATCTCATCAGTTCACAAGACATGATGTCAGACCTTTGCAACCCAAGTATCAAATATAACATCAAGTGGTGACTGCGCATTACATTTTCATTCATCTCACAAAACACAACCGAATCCCCCGAACAACAGAATGATAAATCTTACCCCCAGTAATGACGCAGACCCCTATGGGCACGGATTTTCTTCAAACGCTCCAAATCCTCACGGAGCTTGTTGTCCAGACTGTTACTCAGGACCTGGCTGAAGCGGCCATCCTTGATGTCCTTCTGTCTGTTGAGGAACCAGTCAGGGATCTTGTACTGGCGGGGGTTGGTCATCACAGTGATGATCCTCTCCACCTATCCATACAGGGGAGAAAAAAAAGTGATAGAGCAAAATCCAAACCTTGAGGAAAACACTGAAAATGGACAGGCAAAACCTTCAGGAGACTAACAAGAACAAATCAACATGAGCTTTCAAAAGCCCATAGTAGTACGTAGTGAATCTATCCCCATATTGACCTTTACATCCAAATAGATATTCACGATCGCTTGCAACTACGCGGTGGCCATTCATGCAGCGAACACCCCCCCATATGGAAATTTTGCGGGAAAAGGGAAAGAGAGGCTGCATACTATAAAGAATGTTTACAGACCCGCACTTATGCTGTGCTGATCGTGTCAATCACTATGCAGTATTTGATTGGCACGATCTCCTGTTCTGTCTCACATTGTCTTACAAAAACTAGTTATTCCACTGGTCATTTTTTTGCACCCTTAGCAACTGAAATATGACAGATCACCACAAGGAGTCACTCAAAAGCTTGAAGCCCCCTGTTCCAACTTGCATCTCACAACAAACGTTAATTGGGGGGGGGGAAAGAAAGAGAAACACAAACAGCAACAACAGTAGTTTTACCACATTCTTACCTCCTCTTCACTCAGTTCACCAGCCCTTTTTGTGGTATCCACATTGGCCTTTTTGCAGACAACGAAGGCAAATCTGCGACCAACACCCTGCGAAATTAACCGAAAAAATTATTGGCAAAAATATTTCCTCACAGAAAAAAAGAAAAGAAAAAGAATACATTGATTAAATTTTTGGAACCCAAAAACCTAGTATGTACCATACCGCCAGTATTGGACCAACAGAACCCAAAACCTATTTTTATAAAGTAGAAGTTTTACAGGGCTCGCAACTGCATAAGGTCATATGAGCGCCAAGGGGTGGATGTCAACAGACAAGTCCCTACAGGGAATAATACTCTGCTCACCTCTCTAGCTTCAACAGCACAAAGTCTGCTTCGACTATCAAGGCACCATGGAAATAACAGTTCACAAGAGTGTGACAAATATGAGCATGACATTGATGAATCAGCCCATTTATTATTCTATTGTGCATAAGAACTTGTTAATGTCCCCCCTTTGGAAATGCCCTAAAGACACTTCGGTAAGTAGCACCACCGAGAGTGAGTGTGTGTGTGTATAACACAGATCATTCTGTTAAACAAGATAATGTACCATAACCATAAAATGTATTTCCAATATCTGTAGTATACTGGGGTAATCTTGATAAAGTTGAACCAGTATGGTGTTAGCAGAGACAGATAATCACTTAACCTGACAAAAGGTCATTTCCTATGTTCTGGAAGTCAAAAAATGACCATTTTTACGTCACAAAGTGTCACTGAAAACATGACACGTCTATCTAGGCTACACATTTATCACAGGAAAAAATTTAAAACAAACCACTCTACATATGAAATAACTTTGGTTTGTTTTTTTTTTCAAAAATGCTATAAAAGCATTATAATGTTGAAGGGCATTTACATTCCCCAATCTAACAAAGCTAATCAAGCTCAGAATATTATGGACAGAAACAAATCACACAAGCAGGGGATCAAAACTGCACCAATTTCTCTCTTGTGGTATGCATACTTGCCAGCACCAGTGAATTTTAACACATTACACCCCAACTCGCCCGTGAATTTCCTTTTATGCGCTCCACCCTAACTCGCCCGCGCCAACATAGCGCCGTTACAAACGAAGTCTCGCCATGACGAGACTCTAAGGCCGAGATTTTGATACGCAGTTATTGCAAAATGTTTTTTCTTCCGTTTGATACTGAAATGTTCGAGCCAGTTTTTAGTATCAGAGCCGATCGAAGAGAGATTGCGTTCCCGACTCTTCGAAGGTGTTGACTTGTTGAAAATTGACACAACTGAGTTTTAAAAAGGAAATAACTATGGGTTTGAGCAAAAATAAGCATATGACAAAAATGAATCAGATTTTGGTGAAAACATTTTAGCAAGAGTATGGGGCGCTTCAGATTGATTAGACATAAATTGTAGATCTAGGTCCTAACCGCGAGGCTGAGCGTGATGGGTCCGACCCCCCGATTGAACTAAGAACATTTTCCAACAGTTTGTGCATACATAAAGTTATATTTTTCTGATACTACATTCATTTTTCTTTGTGACTTATTTTTTCAGGATTTTTTTGAATTTAGTATTTCTAAAATGTGGATTTTAAACACTTATGGGTTCCTTTCCCTTGCTTAGGATCAAACAATGGGCTTCCCGTCCAGACCCTTAGGGTGTAATGTGTTAAAACCTTTTTTTTAATAGGACATGCTTTGTACACATTGGTACATCTTGTGTGCATAATCATGACGGACTAGATATTCCAATACGGCATCAAATGAGTTTAAATAAAAATAAAAGATAAACCGTACAGCGCATAGAGAGCTTCGTGTTGAGTGGGAATGTGTAAAATACAAATCATAATTTATCAAATAAAAAGGCTGCGGTTATTCGTACAATAGTCAGACCAACCGTAGTTAGTTGTCCGTACAATAGTGCGAACAACTGTATTTAGTTGTCCGAACAATTGTGCTGTGCGAATAACTAGTTATCCGTACAATTATTCGAATTGGTTGTTGGTGAGCTTACATATTTTGCCTAGATCTAGTTGTAGGTTCTAGTGGTGGGCAAGGACTTACATTTTGAAGAACTAGACAAGCGGGTTAACCATTTATTGAAAACTGGTTCTGACTTGGACCTGACTTAGATTTGAGCGCCCCCCCCCATCTATGTATACACCGCCTCGCCTCCGCCCCACATCTGCTAAATACGTAACCTAATTTGGGTCTAGATCTTGCAGAGAGACTTGGATTTGGCTGAGCCAGCCTCCTCATCTCACAACACTGCTCTTCCACCTCGCCACTTCTTTCTGCGTTATCCTCTCCCAACCGCACTTCGTCCACTAGGAAAGTGGGCAGAGTTCTATCCAGATTACAATCCCGTAAACTTAAATAGGTTAAGCCACAGGCAGGAACTGGATACCCAACTTATAATCCGGGTTTCCGCAAAGCACTAGAGGTTCGTTCGCAACTGTGACCGGTCAGTGAACATGCTCGCATCATAACTTAACCACCACTTTATCAAAATTTAAATCAGCACTTAAAACGCATGTTTCAGTCCAGCTTCAATCTGTAATTTCCGACATTCCCAATACAAATATTATTAGTTCTCTCAGTATCGTTTATTCATGCTGTTCTGTTCTGCAAGAATTTATGACTGTGTGAATTCATTAATGAGAGCGAGGGTGTCTGGGTTAACTTTGTGGGATTGTCTTTACTCAAGGATGTACTGGAGAGAGAGAGAGAGAGAGAGAGAGAGAGAGAAAAAGGTTTACTATAGGAGCTGTGCGCTTCATATGTTCTTTGTATTATTGTACAGCGCATTGAGCACTTCTTTGTGGAAATGCGCTATATAAATGCAATTTATTACTATTTTATTATTATTATAAGATAGATGGGCCCTACGCCAGACCCCGGCATTATGTGAGCACCGCTGCTGTTGGGGTCCCAAAAGTTCATGCAAAGTCTGCAAGTCGCGAAGTATGGCACCCCGGAATGAGGGGGAATTATTGATTTAAAAAAAAATAATACACACTTATGGGAGAGAGGGTGTGTGTGTTATGAAAACACCCTGTCTCAGCTGCCTGAAATCTCATCAAAACTTCAGTCAGACACTGCTCAGCTTGATCGAGTCGGTTTGGCGCCCAGTGCCCATTGAGCATGACCAATCCCACCCAAAATATCGCTTTTCCGGTTTTGACAAAACTCGCTGTTTCGTGCAAATAGGCCTCAGCCTAGGCTGTGCGAGTTAAGTATTGTACGGATAACTAAAGGCAGTTATTCGTACAACAATATTGTACGGATAACCAGTTTTCCGCACAATGGTACGAATAACCATTACGAATAAAAATGTTCAGCATTGCCAATCCATAGCCATAACTTAAGATAAATTTTGAAAACTTGAACAGTACTCACCCTGATGGATGTGATGGCGAAGGGAATCTTCCTTCTACCATCAATATTCGTGTTCATCACACGAAGAATGTGTTGAAACTTCTCAGGCAAAACGAGAGACTGAAAAACCAAAACCAAACCAATTAGGAAAGGGGTTTATAAAAATATAGATCTAAGATCTAGAGATAGAGAGAAGACATATAACAAATCAATATAACTTGCTCCAGATGTAGATCTTGATTCTGAAGGCTCAAAGTTACTCAAACTTCAATGATTCAATGTCTATTTTTCATTTGAATCTGCCACAACAGACCAGATCCTCATGTCCCTTGGTTACTTAAATCCTTAATATTTATGTAGCGTCAATTGCCACAGAGAAGGCCTAAATTGGAGCCCTTGCCTTTTGCGTTGGTGAGTAGGCCTACGAGTGCTCGGTGTTCTGCGTTTGTGAACTGCTTACGCACACCTCTCTGTCCCTCTAGTGTGTGTGTCTCTCTCTCTCCCAAACTCCCGTCCCCCAGGGGCCTGATTTATGTTCCCCGATATAAATAAGTCTATTTCAGCACCTCGTCTTCTGTCCGGTCCTGTATCAGGCCGGCACCTGGCTCAGCGCATGTGCGCCACATCATCCATGCGATGACCAGGTCAACTGGGGCATGAGAGAGTTGCTAGCACCCCCCCCTCTCTTACACACTCTAGATCTACGGGGTCTGGGTGCTGAAACTTTCCGAAATCACAAAAGATTTCTCTCCCCCCCCCCCAACTCTCTCTCACACTCACACTACTACTAAGACTACTGTGTCTGGGCGCTGAAACATTCCAAAATCACGAAAGATTTCCCCTACACTACCGGGTCGTCTGTATACTTCGTGACTTTGTTCCCGGGTCTGTGTAGAATCTAGATCTACACTTCGATTTGCCTTTCTCACAATAATCAATCCAAACTGTCTCAGGACATCATTCACAGTTCACCTCTCTAAACTAAACAGACTAATGGAAAATGCACTTTCATGACCAAAACAAAACTGGCCATTTATTCAATCGAAAGAATACATGAAATCATCAAAAGTCATAAATATTGGACCCTTCGTACACAACAATATACTAGAACAAAATACCCAAAATGTACCCATAATTGCAGGATTAATTGCGATATTAAACAAGGACTTATAGTTAGGTACCCACCATTTTGATGCCTACTTTGGAAAAGGAAGTTGATTTGGAGGAGGAAGCGGAAGTAGGTAAAATACCTGGATCAGGAGTAAGCCAAGACCCTGTCCTTGCCGATATTTTTTTTTTCAATGAATAGAAATAACCCATTAGCGTAATATTTGATATGAAATATTCAACAATAAAATTTTTATGCTACAAGATCAGTGATATAATAACTTAAAGTAGATTGCCAAAAAATAAAATATCTAAATATATCTAATAAAAGAAATCCATTCCGATTAATGAATTTCCTTAGCCTACGTTATTAATTTCCAACCGAAAAGAGCACTCTCCTAAAAATTTTAGGAAGTGATGACAGAAGAAGTGAAAGAAATTGAAAGTGGAAGATTAAGAATATAGCCTAAGGTGAAGTGTCAACGATGGCAGACCTGGTGGATACTCCAGTATCCACAGATGTAAGTTTGCCAAATTATATTTACCCGGGAGGACTTCCGTAACGATCGACCACTATGAGTCAGTATGAGACAGAGCAGAATTGAGGGCAAGACTAAGGGTTGGTGGGGTAAAAGGTAAGGACAAGGTTAGGCTGGCTTAGGGTTAGAGTTAGTGGGTTAGGGTTTGGGCCACCTCTATTCTCACCCGGAGTGAGAATAGTGCCAGCGAGTCTTGTGGCTATTCTCACCCGATGCGCGTTCACCAAATTTTGCGTTCACCCTAAACCACAAAATTCTACACTGTGATAACAGAAAAATTGTAGAATTCTGACCTCTGTGCCGTGAACACACGTTCCATTACAACTGTAGCCTACTAAAAGCGTACAATATTGTCTGTGGGCAGTGGAGAGAGAGAGGAGTAGCGCGAGAATTTCCGGGCAAAACAAAATGGCGACCCGCGTGGCGTAGTTCGGCTCGATTCGAAAAGTTAAATAGCCGTAGCATCTTTGTAGACAACCAAATTAATTTACTTTTTTTTGTGTTTTAACATCATTTTTTAACTTTGTTTTGGTCAATTTGATCGTCCACACTGATAGACAGTATTCAGAAAGAGACAGAGAGAGAGAAGAGGGGAGGAGTTGATCTTGCGAGAACTTCCGCGCGGGTGAGAATAGCCACTTTCTAGGGTTTGGGTTAGTAGGGTTAGGCCTGTTCTTTATTGTGTTTGATGGGGTGGTCGCTCGTTACGGAAGTCCTTCCTTTTACCCTCCAATTGTCGCTAACAAAAGGCACAGAGTAAAAGAATCTCAGGTGATTTTGTAGTTTCGTTCAGTTTTAAGTTGAGAGTAGGGGCTTTCCCCCCTGACCTCCTAATAAAAATATGGAGGGGGAGGGGGGGGGTTTCAAGGGGGCATGCCCGCCTGAATTTTACCATAGTTTGATGTGTTGCAATTAGGTTGCATCCCTGTTGGGAAGAGATTGAAGAATACTGGACCACTCCGTAGATATCTAGATCTATACGTTATTTATATTATTGCGCGAGAATGTGGACGGGTGGAGGAGGGGGTGGGGGGTTTTCAGGGGGTCACCCCCCTGACAAAATTTTAATGAATAGATCTACCGGTCCGAGATTCTCCATTGAGAGATATTAAAAACTGGGGAAAATCATGAATTCCTAAGGTAAAGAGTAGGCAAAGTCAGTCTGCTGGTCCGGTATTCTTCAATCTTACCTCCCTGTTCTTTGGGTTGGCTATTTGGACCTTGGTCATCAAGACTTAGACTAAGACTTAGATCTAGTTCTGGATTTCTTCTCTGGATGTAGACAAATGGATATTGGATCGTGGACTTAAACTAAGTTAAACGAACAGAACTACAAGATCACCGAATATCTATTCTAGATTATTATAGATCTAAATCTAAATCTAGATCTAGATTTCTAGAAGAATTCTACATGAGCATCGAACCTTCTCGGATAAGGGGAAAAAAACTTGGAGGTCCCATGTGTACAAGTTGCACACGTTAAAGAACACTTGGTGGTCCTAAAGTCGACAAGAGTAAGCTTCGGCCACCACCCGGGCAAAATTCAAAATTCCTACTAAACTGAAAATTTGTAATGTGACCTGCACGCTCATCATGTGATGACCTTATGAAGTTGCGAGCGCTGTAAAACACTGACCACAGTGACCAAAAAAAGAATAAGACTGCACTTCACACTGTATATGTTGGGCGCGAACTGTGGATTTGCGCGATCAATCGATCGCGCATCGCGTTTGGTTGATCGAGGAAACGCGCGACAATCCATCGATTGTTGCGCATTCTGTTGATCAGCGGATCGTGCTGTGCTTTTTGTTGATCCATTTGGTTGCGCATTCTATAGATCTTAGCCCTGAGCTTTGTTATATACATTACTCTCCAAAGAACGAGGCAACAGAACAGTGGAACAGAAACTTGCCGCAATGAAAGTCGACGGAGGTTGCGACTCAACACATATTTATTCCTTGGCCATCATGGCTTCCAAGGATTGCGTTCTGCTTGTCTGTGCATGCCACACCCTCCCCACTCATTCGCTCTGGCCTTTATTGTTGGTTCGCGTGGGCTCTCCCACAACGACTTTCTCAACTGGCGAGGTTTTATCTGTTTAATTGGTATGCTGTGCACAGCAGCAGCAATATTCCGTTATAACTGTCTTATTGCGCAAAAGTAGTATTTTATTTACAAAGATAAAGAAGGGTAAAAAACGGGGTTTTAGAACAGTGTCTTTATAACAGACTTCTCGTTATTTCAGGACTCGTTATAAGTTCACTCCACTGTACATACTTAGTGATGACGATGTGATTGAGTTTGCTCTCATGAACAACAACTACAGGGTTCTCTTCCAGATTGTGGTGCATTTGCTGTGGCATTTGTCACATCACTGCTGTGTGGAGATCCCATACTACTCGAGTATGACGAATGTGAAGTTCGACAGCATCTGAGGAGGTGTATCGAAACTCAGAAATTTGTGGCATTTCCAAGTCGCCCGAAATTCAGATCAATAACAGTCGTTTCTTCTTCTACAGTAGAAATTTACTGTGTTTGCCGTTGCCCAGACGATGGAAACCTGATGTTAAAATGCGATTAATGCAGTCTCTGATTCCATGCCAAGTGCGTAGGACTAAAAACACAGTGACAACGTAAAGAAGCCGTCAACAGTTGGTTGTGCTCGAGGTGCTCTTGCTCAAGGAAACAATAAAGAAAACCATACTTGTATATATAATAAATTTTTAATCAACACACAACAATAAATCACAAGCCATTAAATCTTGACTGTATTTGGAATACCACGTGAAGTACTCAGCCAATCAAATCCTTCCATATACTGAGTACAGGTGCTCGATTTATCTGCTTCACTCAACCGTCAACACTTTAAGTTCAACACACAACTCTTCTTGGAAGCAATACAACAGGACGCTCAAAGACTGACATGCTCAGTAAACCAATTTTCTTTTTTTGAAAAATTCACTTCATCATCATAGTTTATCGGCAGAATGCGCAGTAAGTATATATTTCAAGGATCGACGAAAAGCGTTGCGCGATCCGCTGCTCAACAGAATGCACAACAATCAATGGATTGTCACACCTTTCCTCGATCAACCAAATGCTCTGCGGGATCGATGGATCGCGCAAATCGACAGATCGCGCCCAACATATATATATCGATGCCCCCGTGATCAGACCTCGTAAGTGACAAATTTTACTAAACTTACTTTTTCTCACCATCACCTTCTAATGATTACGGTGCACACGCCAACAGAAGTTTTACGTGAAAAACTGCTTAAAAGTGTTTTTTATTGCAAGTAAACAAAACTTGTAAGTCCACCCCTTCCCAAACGTGGTTGTGATCAGAACTCGTAAGCGCGATCCAGCCGCTCGCAGCTTTGAACACAAGGGAGGGCGGTGATTTGAGACGAGTCATTGGCGCTTAGAAGTGGTCAATGCAACCCTAAGCTACCTTTTGTTCCTGATTCACCATGTTTTCCCGTTCCTAAACGTTAAGCATCAGTGACAATCGACAAATTGTCATCTTTTATCGAATCTGCTTCTGGTCTGACTTCTACTTCACCACATCCATCTGTGCCTCTTATGGTCAATCCTGAAATATCTTCTCAACCTTTTCCAAACCGTTGTCCAATGTGATCCCTCCATAATATGTCACTCACCTCTGACCCAGGACCATCTATTGCCGAGGCTGCATTCGCTCTGAAACCTCACTTCTGAAATCTGTATGTTTAGCCGCTTTATGTCTCATTCGAGGTCGACCCTACTTTACCTTTCTGATCAGACTCCCCTGATGTGTCTGCTCATATGCTACCGATTGTGGAAGCATTGTGCATTCTAAGAGAATCCTGGGCATCTTTAGACATGAAATGGATGTTGAATATCTTTTGGAAAAAGAATGCCAGAACTTCCATGTTTGGAAAAGCCTGTACCCCATGGCAACAGCTCTTGGTGATTGATGTATTAGGAACATTGTCGTGGATTGGGACTCTTCTGTCAACAATGAAACTGCCAGTACAGAGCGTTGCCCAGACACTGCCGCAAGAGACAACCCTGAATACGAGAAAGCATCTGCGCAGAAAATATTTCTTATAGAAGATTTCTTTGCAAAATTGTCCAAATTGGGTTCTCATTATTGTTGAAAACAAAGCAGGAAAGTTGTATGTAGAGTCAGTTATCAATAGTATTATCAAACTTCACAGAAGTATGTTGCCTTTTGTCATCTGAAAAAAAAACCGACTGGCCATTTTGGCATTCAGGGGCATTTCCCAGGAACAAAATAATATGTCTGTTAACGCGTCAGTGAGGCGAAAAAGGGCGAAACAGTCGGTAATGAGATTTGGAAACATATCGGTGAAGGAAAGTCACAAGCTCAAGCTTAGAAGGGCAACAATAAGAAACTGGCCATGGACATTTAGTCTGCCCTCTTGGTGCCTTGTCTACAAGCTCCATCGCTTTGTTACAAAACTAAATTGTCCGTGCACAACTTTATTATAGATAGCTTGGTGACAATGGATGTGAGATGCTACGCTTGATATAAAGGGGAGGGAGAATTGTCAGCCAGTTTGCGTTATGAATCATTGACTTTAAACTAAAGCCAATTGTGAAACAGTGATTATCTATTTAGACGTTTGCTGTTAACATAATAGAAATGCTGTTCTAACACACTTTGAGAAGTTACCCCAAGAAGTATTTTATTCACAATGTGTGCGCCATTACAAATAGCACTCAATTCAATCTCATCTGTTTCATTATAATTTTACTTATCCTCGTATGTGTGTGTTTGTTTTTTTGTCTGTTTGTGTGTGTGGTGTGTGTGTGTGTGTGTTTGTGACTTGGGAGGTCTTTGCCTGGTGCCAAAGTTCTCCCTTGTGCATGATCTTTATTCTTTAATTTTGACATTACTGACATATAACTTAATCTTTTGTGTTTAAATTTAAACTCAAGATGCTCTAGGGAGTTTCTTTGTAAAATGAGTAAATAAGAAAAGGCTTTTCTGAACATGCACATGAAGCGTCAGATAATTTACACGCATTGTTCGGTCAAAGGGCAACCAATCCTGGCACTTCTCTTGTCTCCTATGCAGGGTGCTAGCAGCCAAGAGACTGCAAATTATAAGGTTTTAATTATTACCCATCCGGGGATCAAACCCTAACCTCCCTGATCTCACTAAGGTGTCCTGACCACCATCTACAGAGGCCGGTTCTTCTGTCGTACGAAAATATTGTAACTTACGAGTAAGCACTTTACCGACATTTCACCATGATCAAACCTCGTAAACGGCAATAGTCGTCACTTACGAGGTCTGATCACAACCACGGTAGTGTAAACATACCTCGTAAGCATTATTACATAACAAATTCAATATTTATTTTTAAAATGTAATTAACCACCATTTAGTTTCATTGTTTTGAGTGGTTTTATGCAAAATTGAAGAGGTTTGACATCGCTGCTTTAAAATAAATCAGTTTTGTCCTTCTCCTGAAAAATTATCTCTCTGGCACTTACGAGGTCTGATCATGGGGGCATCGATATATATATATCAAAACAAGCCGCTAGCACAAATAACGCCTTCAAAATTCAGAATTTTGCACCTGCATCTCCACTGACACCCCCGATTTTAGTGTGGGATATTAATGAAACAACTCCAACCATATTATGAATAAAGCAAGTAGCTGTCCTTGCGTTGCGCCGGTCAATAGATTGATGGCTATTCTCCAGCTTCATGTATAGTTTCACATGTTGCTTTTCCACAGCTGTCCATCTCGTCTGTCAGCACGTTATGGCCTTACACAAACTCTCATCAAGGTCTTCATTTCTTCAGAATGCGATTCACCGTAGGTGGACCTATGATACAGAAATTCCTCTTTCTTCCGTTGCTAGAGCTTTCATTGAGCAGTGGCTGCATGTCCACCTACGGTCAATCGTATTCTGAAGAAATGCTGACCCTGATGAGTGTTTGTGTATGGCCATAACCTGCCAACCGGGAAGATGGAAAGCTGTGGAGAACCGACCTGTGCAACTATAACTGACGCCAGAGAATTCTCCTTATTCCTCTCCCTTTCCCATGTCTGCTTCCCACTTTATTAAATCAGACTTGGACTATTTAATTTATTTTTAGTTTAAATGCCTAGCCTAAAGGAAGACCCCCACTCCCCTTCTCATGAATTTCAGGTTCTACCAGAAATAAATTTGAACCTGGGAGAGCTGGACTTCACATCAGAAGATTTCCTCCTGGATGAAGTTGATGGTAAGAGCTGACAAATAAGTTTTTCATAAAATGCTCTAAAAGTTTTACCAGTTTTGACACGAGACATAACTTGATTTGTCTTTATAGCACAAAAAGTGGTTTGCATATTTGGTCTTTGTTAATTACTGAATTTTAAATTTTTGCTGATTTACTGTATAAATCCAGTCGTTCATGGATGAGGGAAGTAATAGAAACATTTCATGTTAACAAGGTAACGAATCTACTTTTTATTATGTTGTGAACTTTACCTCTGATTTAAATCAGATGATGAAAACATATTTTCATGTTTTCCTTACTCAACTGCATATTGTCAAAAAGAAGAGCTGCACTGCCATGCTAATTTTTTAAAACGCTGCTATTAAGGGAGAAAGGCCGTTCATCCTAATGAAAGTGTTCTCAGATTTGAAGCTACAATTTAGAAAAATGTGTTACCTGCAAAGACAACTGGAGATTATTAATGTATTGCCTGGAGAGAAAATTGGAGAGTATTATAGTTATAATATGACATCAAAGTCCTACTTTAAAGGACTGAGATGTTGTTAAGAAAATACTGCTTTAATTTTTTAATAGATGGCCTTTAGAGACCATCATCCTTTTGCTGACTTGGCTACCCCAGAAATGTTTAGCTTGTAGGGGTGTCGTGAATTTCTAACAAGCAAGACAGTCATTTTTGTTATCCTGATATAATTTAATCAAGGAAAAATATTCTTTGAACTGCATGCTGGTCTAGCACGGGAACACAGATGGGAAGAATAGATGCAAGACCTAGCTGAAGTAAGACAACGATCTGGTACAGATGACCTTGTAATTTATTAGTTTTTAAAACTAACCCGGGAATTTCTGTGTTGTTCAGAAGGGATTCTCATAGTATTAACTAATCTTAATTTATTTGTTAGTATTCATTGTATCATTCTAGTATAACTTGATGCTTGTATGCTATAGTTTATGCAATAATCTGCTTTTTGCCACTGGCATCTCTGATAAACTGCTGTATTTGTAAGTAGAATGTTTTCCTCTGTATTGCTGAAATGATAATCGAATATTTAATTTATTCAGTTCACATTCAAGAAAACCTTGAAGACGACATTGTGAAAGAAGCCCTCAATAAGGTAAGATTGCAAGATACAGTGGCATGTTTTGCTTGATGTTGTTATGTCATGGTTAGTGTTTAAGTGCCGTTTCTTCTACCTTTTCTTTATAGTGACTAATCTATTGAAAATTTTGTAAAAATGAACAGGACTAAGATGTTACTAATAAATTATGTCAGTTTTATTCATTAACCTTTGTTACTGTAACATTGTAACATACAAAGTTCTGGATTGTTGTTACCTCTCAGTGTCTGTGCTGAGCGGGAGCGTCACTGGCTTGTGGAATGTACTGACCTTTTGCAGAGTCTGTTGTATACATTGGAAACTGGTAATGCCAGTTGAATAGTGTAAGAGATTGTTGTTGGTTGGTAATGTGACTGCAACACTCCTTGAGGAGACTGCCCTTTCTTTTCTATTGCAGTTTTTCCTGAAAATGGAATATTTTTTCCAGTTAACGGTCAAAATGTGTAAGGGTTGATGTTTTATTCTACTTTTGTAATGACGTGAATTGTGTTAATAGGGGTTTATATCGTTTAAATGATCGTCTGCATATATGATGTAAGTCGGTGTCTGAATAAGAATATTTTTCACTGTGTTGATATGTTTAAAAAATGATGCTGTATTTATTTACTTTCAGGGTGTTGACTTACGACAGTATTCTAAAGAAATTGAAAATGATCTTCAGACAGTGGAGAACGAATCTGTTCAGGACTGTATCCTTTAATGTTTTGAGGTCGTTCTGACCTGTTATCTCTGTGTGTGTACATGTGTGCTTGTGTGCTTAGATGTGTGTGTGTGTGTAAAAGAGAGAGATGGGAGTAAAATACCTGTAAGTTGTGGAGAGATTGGAGAATGTAAAGTTGTGATACATTTTGTATTGGGGAAGAACAGTTGGTTGCCCTTAATCTTTGACTCTGGAAGGAAAAAGAGAATTGAGGATGAAGTGACCTTTAATTGACCTTAAGTGCATGATGTATCCTTGACTAGTGGCAAGACATCAAGGAGAGCCAAAATATTGCAAGTCTTCACAAGCAGATTGCAGCCTGCGACACCATCTTGGAGGTATGATTCTACCTTGTTGTTTTTCAAGCCCACTCAACTGTCAGCTGAATTGTTTTAGTAATGTTCATAGTCCCGTGTCTGTTATGATAGAGTGGTTTTTATATGACTTCAAAAAAATTCTTTTCCCTATGGGATGGATATTTTGTTGTCGTTTTTGTTTGGACAAAGTGCTCATGTGACTTACCAATAGCATCCTTATACTCATGGCTATTTTTCATCTTTTACCCGCTCCTACAGAGGCTTACAGCGGGTGGTTGGAGGGCTCCACCGGTAGTCCCACTTCTTTACTTTCCCTCTGTTGATACTGTCTGTCTATCTTTTTTTTAAAATCCAGCACTAAAAGACCATAATGGTGTAGATGTGCTTTTCTTTACTCAAACAAACAAGAGGCTTGCATGACTTCACTGTTCGGTGAAAGTTGTTTTTATTCTGGATGTAATAACTCTCCAACATTTGTCTGTCCCACCCCAGATAAAGGAATTCCTAGACGACTCAAAACTAGAATTTTTTAAAGTCCGATAACCAAAAGTGGTCCCCAAGCAGCAAAACTTTTGGTTTTCCAGAAGACTGCTTTGAATCAAATGGAATAACAAATGAAAGTATCCTGGAAGAACTTGATTCACAGCAAAGTATGTTTTATGAGATCAGCAAAAGGAGACTCATGTACCTTGGTCATGCTAACAAATGTAAAAACAGATCTGATCACATCTGTACTGGCAGGGCAAAGTAGAGGCAATGAGAAATAAGGGAATGCCCCGTACTCTGAACATTTTAAACACATAATCCGTCAGTGGTCTTCAACTTTTTGAAGTAATTCATCAAAGCAGAGATTGGGAAAGATGGAAACTTGTTGTTGCAAAGGGTGGGTCGCCTACGGACGAACTCAATCATGATGACAGGTGACCTAAGACAGACATCTAAGCATAGATACCACCACTTTTTATATCCAATTTATTATAATTAGGCGTTAGTCAAAAGTGTGGGTGGTTGAAGGATGCCCCTGGTAGATCCCACTTCTTTACTTTTCCTCTGTTGTTTCTGTCTGTCTGTGTGTCTTACTTTTTCCTTGCACTAATTAACCATTATTGTGTCGATATGCTTCTCTTTAATCAAACAAACAAACAACACATAAACTGAACTAAAAGCCAAAGCCCGGTCTCCTACAGTGAACTGTTGTGTGTGTTTCAGAGGATGGAGCAGATGTTGAATGGTTTCCAGGGCGATTTGAGCAGCATCAGCACAGAGATACAATCTCTGCAGGACCAGTCTATCGCAATGAACATCAAGCTCAAAAACCGACAGGTGAGAGGAGCATGTCCCCTGTACGCAGGCGTGTGTGTGGGGTGTGTATGGGTGTGAGTGTGGGAGTTGAATCTGTAACCACAAAACAGAATGTGATTCAAGTAAGATAAAATGTATGACCAGGTCCATTTAATGTGTATTTAGGTATGTTGGACATGTGTCTGGCTGGGTTTACTATGTCAAGCTGAATGAAATGGGTGTTATGTGTGTCTTGGTATGTATGATGTGTATTCAGCTTTGCAGAATGTGTGTCAAGGTAGATGCATTGTGTGTCATGCAAGATACAGTGTGTGTTTATTGTGTAATTTCTTATGTAAAATGTATACTTAGTGAGGCTGAATGCATTTACTACCGAGAACAATGTGTTCACAGCTGTGACTGTCCAGCTAGGCAGAATGTGTATCCAACTGAGTAAAATATGTGTCTGGATTGATAGGACACGTATCGATATGGGAATAACATATGCCATGAAACGCAGACTATGCTTGCTGTTGTGTTTGTGTATGGATTGAAGGATGTTTGTCTACCTGTGTATGTCCTAGTCCTCACATGAGGAGAAGAGGCTGTTTCTGGAGGTGGCCTCAGTGACACCAAAGGCTGGTCTGGTTTATTGTCTAGCTGTTTTATTATGCCCCTTCGACGTAAGGTGGGGGTGGTTGAAGGGTGTCACTGCAAGAGCCAGTTTCTTTACTGTCCGATAATTTTTTTTGTCAACCTTTCTTGCTCCTTTCCAGCACATAATGACCATCTGTATGTCGGTGTGCTCCTTTTTACTCAAACATATCAATTTTCATTATGCTCAATCGCTATTTTGTATCCTCTGGGAAAGTAGCAAAAGTGATAGATACAAAGGGAAAAGGGACTGTATTTGTAGGGGTCAAAGAGAAATGTAAGACTCCTATAGCTAGATTGGAAATAGAAAAACATCCTGAGATTTTAGGGGAAAGTCCAGTTATGATGAAAATGTGTATAACATATACATACATGTCATCCTCTATGTTCCAGGCCATCAGAGGAGAGTTGAGCCAGTATGTGGATGAGATGGTCATCCCAGAGTCTATGATCACGTGAGTTGCTTTCTCTCTTATTTAGTGGGGAAAGTAATCTTCAAAGGGCGTAGATTATCTTTTTAATTTCCTTTAAAATATCAACCTTGCTAACTTTAAACTGAAGCTAAGCCCAACTGTTTTAGAGTTAAAGCAGGAGGCCAGCCTATGGTTGGTGGGGACAATAGTCTGGTTGTTATTTATGCTTCTTTCTAGCCTTGTTCTTGTCCTAAACTGTTTCGGAATGTGTGACTACTAGGGTGTAGGATACAGCTCCCCTCACTCTACATGCAGTCAGCCATTGGTCAAAAGACTATGAAAACAGTCCCGTTGCCCCCACCCACCCATCCCCCTTGTCTGACCAGCACCCACTTCTGCTCAAGAATAAGCACTGAGTGAATTCCCTCAGTATAATGAGACAGCGAGTACATTAGTTTGTCCTTGTCTGACTGCTGTCTTGGCCCGCCTCCCTCCCAGGTCCATCCTAGAGAGCCCAGTGACCGAGGATGACTTCAAGGAACAGCTGCACGAGCTCAACCACAAGATTAACTTTGTCAAGGAGCAGTCCTTCCGGGACGCCCGCGCCTGCCTCGATGTCAAGGACATTCTAGAAAAACTCAAGATTAAGGTTCGACATTTTAGAGGGGGGAATAAAAAATACTCTTCATAGGGTGGGGCTGATTGTGAATATCCTTTGAAATTCCAAGGATCCTTTACATTCTGTTCCCGGCTATAGAAAGCGAAAGATTTTGTCACTATGTTTGTGTTTGAACCCCAGTAAATTGGCTGCTTGCATTGTATGCTTCCCAGGAAGTTAGAATTGCTATCAGGTCTGCTGGGATAATAATGTAATATTTAAAGCACATAGAACTTGCTGTTGAGCGGGAATTTGCATTATACAATTTTTATATACAATTACAATTTATCATTGTTATAAATCTTTTTAAGACAGTTGATGATGTCCTGTGTGGGGACATGATGACAGTTAGTTTGTTAACGCCCGGGAATTTCCAGATAGCGTTCAGGAATTTCCAGATGTCTTACCGTGTCTGGATGGTCCTCCTAATTGTGATAGCAGAGACTGGGGATCTTTAGAAAACCTTCTAAATAGGAGTATTAGAAAATTAGACAGCAGAGCAGAGACAGAGCCACTGACCCCACTATTGTGCAGGTAGAAAAGTGAATGTGGTTTGGGATGTCAGCCTGTGGTAACTTTATTCTTTTCCTAAGGTCCCAATGTCTATGGTGTATTGTATACAGAAGATATGAGTTTGATTCCCACATGGGAACGTTTTTGTTATCGAGAATCTCCATTATTCTGCTTGGATGCTGTATCCCACTCGGGGCAAAACAAATTTCATCTTAAGCACATAGTCTGTGATTAGCCCATCTCCTGTTTTTTTCCTAATTTTTGTTTCATCATTGGTCCTCTTGCAGGCCATTGGAAAAATTAGGGAATTTTTGCTGCAAAAGATTTACGCCTTCCGCAAACCCATGACCAACTACCAAATACCTCAGAATACACTGCTCAAGTTCAGGTAAGAATTGCTCTTTTCCTCAAGGTTTTTGCACTCAAGAATTGTAGACAAGTGCCCTACTTAGAGCAGTTGATATCTGGTTCTAGGTTTTACTTTGTCTACAGCCGCTTAATGACTTTTTGTCTAACAAAACTAATTTGAACTTGCATGGAATATTCTGACCAGAAAAATCACACCAGCAGGGACTCGAAACTGCACCATATTCTCTCTTTTGGTATGCGTACCTTCTTGATACCAGAGAAATGATTCTCTGAGCTAAAAAAAAGAGTAAGGTGCAAAATGTATGATAGTCGGGACAATTTCTATTACGTGTTTGTACCCCTAACCTCATAGACTGTCATCTGAGCTTTTGGAATGTTAACTATACAGCTGTATGATCTGTACATGACCCTCAAAGACAAGATGCGTTCTTTTCATTTTCTTTGTGTTGTTGATTTAGAATCTTGAAAAAAAATGGATTTTTTAAAGTTATCTCTTTAAAGAAATTTTGTTTAGCACGACAGTTATTTTTCTGTTTTATCCCACAAACTTGTAGTGAATTCCTGATGGTTTTTGTCATAAAATCTTCAATGAATTCCTGATATTTTTGTCTCAGAATCTACAATGAGTTCCTGATGTTTTTTGTCTTAGAATCTTCAACATTTACTTGATGCTTTTGTCTCAGAATCTTCAATGAATTCATGATGTTTTTTCTTAGAATCTTCAACATTTTTACTTGATGTTTTTATCTTAGAATCTTCAATGAGTTCCTTTTTATTTTGTCTCAGAGTCTTCAACAAATTCCTGATGTTTTTGTCTCAGAATCTTCAATGAGTTCCTTTTTATTTTGTCTCAGAATCTTCAACAAATTCCTGATGTTTTTGTCTCAGAATCTTCAACAAATTCCTGATGTTTTTGTCTCAGAATCTTCAATGAGTTCCTGATGGCCAACGAGCGCCATGTGGCCAAGGAGGTGCGGGATGAGTACGTTGAGACCATGAGCAAGATCTACTACTCCTACTTCAAGGGCTATTCCAGCAGGCTCACCAAGCTACAGGTAGGTCACAGCTCACAGAGTCTCTTTTAGTTCTTTCACTTCTTGGGTTAGTTTAGTTTGGCTTGAGTGAAGAGCAGCACACCGACACAATAATGAAGCAAGACTGAAGGCAAGAGAGTAAGGGGAGACCTAGCAGAAGTTGTGAACAAGATATAGAAGCATTGTTTGGAGCTGAAACGATTGAGGCTGGCAGAGTGACAAGAGACAATGTTGTTTTATTGCTGAAAGGTTTGAGAAACAACATCCAACTACTGAAAAAGCCAAAAAGAAGAAGTGGTAGAAAAGGGAAAGACTAGTAGTGAAGAGCACGAGAGGGGGGAGGGTTGAGAAGTAATGCATGTCGGTGGCACTGTCGGACCGCCTGCTCATCTCTCAAAATTCTCGGAAGTTAAAAAATGACAAGGTATAAGAAGCTACCTATGTTCTGAGCATTTATAAGGGGTTTTGTAATTAGACTCGGTCAGCCATGTCTCTGAAATTATTATGTAAAACTGTGTCTTGCCACGTTCCTTCGTGTACGATGAAGAGAAGTGTCTGGGGTCTGCTTATTTCACAGATCTTTTTGTGATGAACTTGATAAGTCTACTCTCTGTCAGTTAAATGTTGAAGCGATATTTCTCGTTTTTTTACGAGCTGGTTTTACTGCTTCATTTTGTAATGTGATAAGATAACTAAACTCAATTTTGCAAGCTCTTGACCTTCTCTTCAAGCGATCTTAATTGTGGCGATTGGGGTGCTAAACATTTGCATTCATTTTCCTTTTACTAGCTATCTAGTAACAAAGAGTAAAGCGTCAAACACCAGTCTTGTACTAGTCTGTTACCATCAGGCACTGGCAGTCAGTACACAGAGGGCTCAAGTGGGCCTTGGTTCTAAATACAGTGGAACTTGTCCAAGACAACCACGCATTATCGAGGAGAAGAGTGGTCATCTTTGACCGGTGGTCCTCTTGAACAGTGTCATTATAATGCACAAAAAGATGCAAAGTGGCTAGTGGGAAGTGGTTGTTTGTACAAGTGATTGTGTTGGATAGGGGGTTGTTGGAGTCGCTTCTACTGTACTGTGAAATTTTATTATCATGGTGGGATCAAATAACTTGATGACTTCCGCTTTTTTTTTTTTTCAACATATATTGAGAAAAAGACATTTGTCTAGTGCTTTTAAGATATAACTTTATTGACTTTTTAGTTGTGGGCTGACCTTGTTCATCAGTTTGATGAACCATTGTTTTTTGAGATTTTTGGTGTTGTTTTTTTTCACCATCACTCTTTCAGTTTCCGTGTGTTTGGAGATCATTTTGTTAGTGTTTTTCAAGGGGAGGAGGTGGATGAGAAAAGTCCATTATATGATTCGAACAACATTATGATCATTTGTGGTTGAATATTCCTAGCTAATAATAGCGACTTTTCTGAACTTTCACAGTCTTTCTGTTCAGTTTAGCATCTATGTGCGGAATTTTATACATAACTAAACTATTCTGCTGTGGATGTTTTGTCATCCTGTCTTCACAGATGTGTCTCACCATGCCTTTTGATTTATAGGGAATCTATTTTCTTTTTGATTAATGTTCTGCAGATATTTTCTCAAGACTGTTTGCATTTATCGTTATCACTCTCTCTCTCTCTTTTTGTCTGTGCTTTTAACCAACTTACTTTCATTCATAGATTGTGAGTATATTTTACACATTTTTGTGAAATTGTTGTGAGCCATTGTTTTTCTTTTGTTTCTTTGTGCAGACATTCATTTCTCCCTTTTTTTTTATGTAGTAGATTTTATATATGCACTTTCTGTTTTCAGAGATATGTTCACCATTGTCTTAGGTTGTATTACTAATGGGTTAGTTGTATGTTGTGGAGATATATTTCACCATTACCATTACCATTCATCATATCACTGACTGCTTTAATGTGTGTCTTTGAAACAGTTTCTCAGGTGTTCACCATTGTCTTTCATTGCGTCACTGATCTGTTACATATATGGTGTCTAGATAAATTTGCCATTATCCTTCATATTATATCACTAACTTTTAAGATGTATTTTGTCTAGATAAGTGGTCCATTATCCTTCTTAATGTCACTGACTGGTTAGAAGTAAGTTGTCTAGATAAATCCTCCAGGTTTCATTTTTGTTCTGTTTAGTATTATTGAAAAGCTTCAGACTGTTAAGATTTTTTTTTTACTTTACTTTCTTTCATCATCCACACCACATTTTTCTTATTTCTTTACTTACGGAAAAACACAGATTTTGACAGGCGGCTGCCTTATTTGTCTCTATACATTTCTTTCTTAACCGTAGCCGTGTGATAAGTGTCGTGGCTTTGTTGTTGTGTTAAGTATACTGGAAGTTGTGCAAGGAACGAGGTAGACCATGAACTGGTATCTCTTTAAATCTTTAAATAACATTTTTTCATCTTTTGGGGGGGGGGGGGGGGGGGGGCTGGTGTAATCTAGCTCACAAAATTCAGCTTGCACTGTGGAAATAATATAGAGGCGAACAAGATTTGGAAATGTCTGATGAATGCCAACTGTAGATGCAGAAATCCGAGAATCTGCGGCCCTGTGTCAATATGTGTCGTGACATTGTGGAATCAGGCGCTGGTCAATTTTGGGGACATTTGGAATTACTGATATCATTGTGAAGCTTGTTCATTTGTTTTCCTTTTTATAAAAAAAATATACCCATCTATCTCAAATACAAGTCAAAGTATTTGCAATTGATTGGGGGGGGGGGGGGGGAATGGGTGTGTCTGGTGTCAGATAAAAACAGCAAGAAAATGGCTGCCTAAGTTTGGTGACTTCGAAAGCTTTGCGTCTCCTTGGAAACTGCAAGTTTATATTTTTTGTGCCTATGATTATTATTCAGTAAAATCCCCACAGAAATGTGTTTTTAAGTAGACATAAAAAGTGATGATCAAACAATGAAAAAAAAGATTAAAATTGTGCAACGGGTGGAAAAATGCTAGTTTCTTCGATTTCATTATCTTGAAGAGCACCTGATTAAACCACAATGCCACACATATGATAATAATAGATTGAATTTTCATCAGTTATGTGTTCTGGAAACTAGGCTCTATGAGCTGAACTATTTTATTATAAAAGTTTTCTGTGTTCTCTGTTGTTGCTTTATTTAGAGTCATAAAATTCTGAGCTCAAACAATGTTCCTCTGGTTAAAGTCTTGTATGTAAATGCTTAGATGTCACAGTATGTGTAACTTGACAACGTCGTTGTAGGCCTACTGTCTTGTTTATTTGTGTATGGTTTCTTATCTTGTGTGTACAGCTGCTTCGTGGGTGGTTGGTGGGTGCCCTAGTGTGATCTGCTCCTTCTTTCCTATCAAACATCTATCATCCTTATCTCTCCTCCTTTTTTGTGTTTGTTACTCTCTTGTAACATCTCTAATCTTCGGCACTTTTATGACCTTATTGTATTGCAAGTCCCGTAATATACACTTACTTGAATTAAAACAAATACTTGCTTCTTATTGTGTTGTTACTGCTACTGGCGGTTTTTGCATGTACAGAAAAGAATTCTTCAGTGAGGCTTTGCAGGCTTGAGTACTCTCCTGGTGACCAGTCAGAAAATTTCCTGGGCTTTTCCTTGTGGCATGATATCTTTGGGTTTGTGGGCTCTTTGAAACACAAATAAAGCTGGGATGTAGAGATGATCTGTATAGAACGGGACTTAACCTGTCACTTAACACGCTTGCGTTTTAACAAGTTCTCTTTGGAAAAATTCAGATGTGTGTGTGTGTGTGCATGTGTAGTTAGTTTGTTGTTTTGTTATTGTTTTTTTCTTGGATGTGAATCTTGGATCTTATGTTGGAAAAGATAAAGCCCAAACCTAACATTGCTCACACTGACATCTTTGCATTTCTCATTCTCACTGGACAGTTGAAGCAGGAAGTCAATTCATTCTCCCATCAGTGACTTTTTTGTTACCCAAAGGAAGGGTTGTCATTCTCCCAGGAGTGACCTTTCCATCCCAGGGAATGGATGTCGGTGACTTTTCCATCCCATCCTAGGGAAAAGATGTCATTCTGATAGTGACTTTTTTTTTTATTAAGCCAGGGAATGGGAGGGGGGAGTGGGCTACTTTTCTATAACAGGGAGGGTATTATTTGCTGGGCTATAGCGTTGACTGTTGTTGTTACTGACGTATAAACTTGCAGATTCCTTGTGAAGAGACCCCGGAAAACTTGTCCACCGTGTTACGTACCATCATTCGACCTCGATTCTTTTCTAAAATGGTAACAGCAGGATGGGATTCTTTTGTTTTGGGTTGTTTCTTCCTTTGCTATATCCGGGTTTTTCTGTTTGCCTAAGGCAGTTCTTCAGCTTTTGACTGAATGCGGTATTTCACATATTGGGAGGTTCATGCTTGCCTGTAACTGTAAATGTGGGTTCACTATGGGTTTTGAGAAATATATATTTTTGTTACATGAGGGTATTTCTTTGAAAACTGCAGTCTTTGTAGAGACATGATTTTACTGTCTGAGTCATATCCTTAGCAACACTCTTCACTGCTTCCCTATATTGGTTCAGATTAATGTCAAGAAAGCACTTACTGTGGCCTCTGTTCTAAACAAACTCTTGCTTATTGCACATACTGCTTTGTTCTTCTCAGTAAAAGTTTCACATGCTCATCTCTGCTAACAATGAGTGGATAGGAGGGCATCACTGATTTGTCCTACTTCTTTACCTTTCCACCTGCTGTTTCTGTGTGATTGCCCTGCTTTGTATCTCCAATCAATAGCCATTATTGTATAGAAGTACATGTAAAAGTCTCACATGTTCATCTCTGCTAACAATGAGTGGGTTGGAGGGCATCACTGATAGATACTACTTCTTTACCTTCCCCCCTGTCGTTTCTGTATGGCTGACCTGCTTTTTACCTACAATCAGTACCTGTTATTGTGTCGATGTGTATCTCTTTCCTCAAGCGAAACTAGTCTATCAGAACTCTGTTCATTTTTCCTTGTTTAATGAACTGGGAGAGTGGTTTGTGAAGATGAATGCATACATATTGAGGTATCAAATTCTTCTTTTATGGATTAATTATCATCAATTGTATTTGATCTCTGTTCAAGATGTAAAAAAAAAGAAAAGAGGTAATATACAAAATTTAGAGAGTAAGCTTTGTTTCTCTGTTGAGACCTACGGAATCACATTTTTATGTCAGTAGAGTTCAGGAAGGTCAGGTTTGTTCTTTTTTTGTTTTTTGAATCATGAAAATCGGCATACGAAAAACTAACTAGTATTCAGTAGGCCCAGGGGCCCCCCTTCCAGTGCAGGATTGCCACTTGTACTTCTTGTGAGGAAATGTTAGAGAATAGCTATGGATGAATTTGTCTCAGAATTCTTATCGATGCAACATGACGGCCTTTCTCTCTGCTCTTTACTGGTTGAGGTGCTTGTGCATGGCTGGCTTCTCTCGTCTTTGTCTTCATCCTCCTCCCACTTCTCCTCCTTCCTCCTTCTTCTGGCTTTGTTTTGCTTGTCCTGCATACGTCTGCCTTGTTTTTATCCCATTCCCTCCTGTGATTCTTGCTCAAAACGCATGCCGTCTTGTCTTGCATGGCAGAAAGTTGTTTTGTCTGGTGTTGGGTTTACTCTGTCGGGTCGACTGTCGTCAGAGATGAGAAAAGCAAAGCGGACAGTGTGAAGGGTCAGGAAAGAAGCGTCACTGGTCAGATGGTTGGAATTGGGTTTCTGTTGTTCATGGACTGTGTGTGTGTGTGTGTGTGTGTGTGTGTGTGTGTGTGTGTGTGTGTGTGTGTGTGTGTGTGAGAGGAGTGTAGTGTAGTGGGGGAATGGAGAAGGGCTTTGTTTGTATAAGGGATCCGTGGGGGTCATGCAGCATGTAGAGGGATGACTGGAACAAATGGTTTGATTTTTCAAGTTTAAAAAAAATATTTTTTTGTTAAACCCAAGGATCATTTTCCCAGAATTTTGAGACTTTAGAGTTCTCTTGTTCATTATTCGCGTCTTGTCTGTCTGTGTGTGTGATGTCCAAAAATGACTTCAGAGCACTCTTGTTTGTGTCTTGTCTTTCTATTTGTGTGTGTGTGTTTGTGTGTGTGTGTGTGTGTTTGTGTGTGTGTCAGGAAAAGACCTCTCAACCGTATGAGACTTAAAGAAAATGCCCTCTCCATTCGTGTGATGTCATCAAGCATTTTTACAATAACTTACAGTGCAGTGCATTGTCCAATTTGTTCTAGAAACCCCTGCTTCTTAAAAGTTTTGCTCCTAAGGAATTTTTTTGTTTTTGTTTTGTGATTACCTTCTTCGTTATCAACAATTTTTTTTAATTCTTTGTCATCAGAGACAGTTAGCAAAACTGGTAAAGTTTTTCCCTTTCTCCTTTTCATTCTCTCTCTCTCTCTCATCTTTTGTTATGCTGTATTATATGAAACATTTTTGTTTTGCTCTGCGGACAAGGGAGATGGGTGCTTAGTCTAGCATCCGAGCTGTGTCGACTGTCAGTCTAGTGTGTCACTGGTCACCTGGAGACTCCCTTCTTTCCCTCCTCCCCCTTATCTTACAAGACACCTCCTCTTCCTCCCCAACCTTCTTTTGCTCTTTCTCCTTTTCTACTTTCTTTTCCACTACCTTCCACCTCTTCATTTGCCCCTCCTCCTCTTCAACCATTTCCATCTGTGCTACTAGCTCAACTTCTTCCTCCTCTACATCACCTCTTTGCCGTCCTCATCTTCCTCCTCCTCCTTCTCCACTACCTTATCTCCCTACTTCTCCTCTTCCTCCTCCTCGTCATTCTCCTCCTTTTCCTCTCCTCCTCCTCTTCTTCACCCTTTTCCTTCTCCTTCTCTCATTCCCCCTTCCTTCCCCCTTAGTCCATACAGATCTGTGGTCCCGGAATGCTGCATTGTGGTGGTCTGGTTGTGTGTCCACCCCTTGGTTTGGAAGGTGCACAATGTAATTTTTGTTTCTTTCCCACTGCTGGGGAAGCCTGGCTCTCAATTGGTGGAAGGTTTTTTTAAAAACTTTTTTTTTCTTGTCTCTGGTGCATGGTTTTATTGTTTAAAATTATTGGTCAGTTTGTTTTCTAAATAAATACTCTACGACATTTTATTTACGACTTATCTTTACCTAGTTTGAGCCACTCAGTGTAGTGAATGTATGTATGTAAAGGTATAAGCTGTCAGTACCATCTTCCTCTGACTATGCGATGCATGTAAAAGATAAGTGGTCGACTAGAGGTGTGATGCTGTCATAGTCATTGTGAAATCTTACATAGAGTCTAACACACACCATATAGCGAAATCAGCAGGTCACAGAAATCTTTTCATTGTGTACGAATTTTGCTATGTTTATGTTTTGAATACATGTGTGTATATATATATATATATATATAAGAATGGCATAAAAGAAAAACGGGACCTGAAAATCGGTTCGTTTTGTGCGTGTTTGACAGTAACTTTGTTTGAGTGATGAAATACATAGGTTATTACGTGCGGGGCTTGATTGATTACAACATTAAGTGCTGGGAAACCAAGCAAGATAAACTATAGAGATACCTTGTTCTGAGGAAGTTAGACCTATTGTGTTACCCTCTAACCACTGACCCTGAAATAGATTAAGGTCATCGAAAAATTATTTGAATTTAACATTTGACTTTTAACAAAACTTTAGGAAATGTGCGGAATGGTGTAAATAGAGATAAAGGTTTGTGTGTGTCTAATCACTCTTTCTACCCTGTCTTTTAAGGGAAGGGGAGCAGTTGTGTACTGGTATCTGTGGTTTAGTGGCTAGGCACTTTGCTGTTGCATGTGGGAGACCTGAGCTTGATTCCCCAAGTGGGGAGAAAATTTTTTTCGAGCATCTCAGTCTTTCTGCCAAGATGTTGTATGCCTCTCAGCCATGGCTGGCCCTAACAGACAGAGTCAGAAGCTTTACTTCTAAATGATGTAAATTGTCTTGATTTGGGTGTAAAAATACACCTGCATTAAAGAAAAAAATGAAAGCGGTTGTATCTGTGTTGTCCAGTACATGTTCAGTTCCACTGACTGGTAGGTCATACTTTTTCTTTCCCGAATTTCTGCTTTGTTTTTGTCTGTCTATCTTTCTCCCAGCACTAAGTGACTATTTTTGTCAGTGTGCATTTCTTTACTTAAAAACTATTTAAAAAAAGAGTAATTGGGTCAGGGAACTGGAAGTAGGAAGAGATTGGTTATTAAGTAGTCTTTTTTTCTCATGAAGGTTCTTTGTTTAAAACTTGTTGCTATGGCTCTGGTTACTCATTGAACTATTTCTTCTCGTTGTGTCTGTTGGCTTATGTGTGGTTGATCATGTGGGCGATGGGTCGGGTGGTGTGTGGTGATAGTGACGTGGTGTGTGGAGTGATGGTGCTGAGTGATGTGGACAAGTGTGACAACCACTGAGAGATGTGGTAATGCACAAGATATTGTCAAACTAACATTGAGTCACTTACTCTCTTCTCTGCTAACCATTGTCGCATGGCGGGTCCTCAAGGGTTGTTATGTTGCTAGGCTGAACTGTCTCTTGTTCAAGGAGGGTCTATAGAGGTCACCCATCCAAGAGTCTCCTGTGTTGCTTGACTTTTTTTAGAAAGTTGTTCTCAGACTCAAGACCTCACTTTTTTTTTTTCTTCATCATCAAACATTTTAGAAAAATTAAATGAGCCATGCTTCTTTTCTGTTTCAGTTTGAGGAGGCGGCGACCAGAGATGACCTCATGGGGGTGGAGGACACAGCAAAGAAAGATATCCTTGACTTTGTGGTCTGTGGGATGTCCGTGTATTGAGTCTCTGTGTTACTGTCGCTGTGTGTTTTGGCCATGTGCTGAGTCAGCTGTTGTGTCCTGCTTAGTTTGTGTTTGTTTTTGTTTGAAGTCCATATGTCTGTATATTTGCCTCAAATGTGATCAAAGCCAAATACTTTCTATTCATGTCGCTCTTCACTTACGGACCAGCCGTTTAAATGAACACAGACAAGTGCTTTGGTGTGATGTGCGCCTTCTTTCTTATCCAACATCTATCATCCTTATCTCCCATCCTTCTTTTTTTATATTTGTCACTCTTTTGTAACACCTCTGATATTTGGCACTTATACGACCTTATTGTGTTTCAAGTACTCTAAAACTTTTACTAAAAACTAAACACAAACACACATGGGAACATGAATGGACCTTGACCCGGCCTCAAGCTTTTTCTCCTCCAAGCCAGCCATGAAGAACCGCTCGACGGTGTTCACGCTGGGCAACAGAGGGGACGTCCTCACCACGGAGCTGGAGGCTGCCGTCATTGTGCCACACGCCGCGGCCAAGACAGAGACCAGGGTGAGGGGATGGGGGAGTGATTGTCTTGTACTGTGGAGGGGGAGGAGATGGTGCAGGAGGAGGAGAAGAAAGAAGTAGTTATGGTTCAAGAAAAGGAGGAGAAGCAGGAAGTAGTTACAGTCAAAGAGAAGGAGGATAAGGAGGAGAAACAAGATGCAGTTATGGTTGAAGAAAAGTAGAAAAAAGAGGAGTAGCGGGAAGAAGTGGTCAAAGAAAAAGGGGAGAAGCAGGAAGACATAGTGGTTTGAAGAAAAGGAGGAGCAGCAGGAAGGAAGAGGGAGAAAAGAAGGAGGAGATCATGGACTAGAAGGAGGAGGAAAAGAGGGAGAAGAAAGAAAAGGAGTGGAAGCTGAAAGTGTAGTTGGGGGAGGGGGAGGAAGGTGTTGTGGCTGAGGAGGTGAGAGGGACAGTTTTGTGCTTTGTTCAGTGTGACAATCTTACTAGAAACAAATAATAATAATAATGGATAGCATTTGTATAGCACAAATCCCCGCTCAACAGCAAGCTCTATGCGCTTATCTATAGTACCATGTACCAAGTCAGTTTAGTGTATAACTGATATGCTCTCAAATGTCTTTTACACTTTTGAGTTTTTCGTTATATTTTTAAAACTGAGTAGGCTATGTATTTTTTTAATGAAAGCAACATTTATCAACTCTTTATCCACTGAGGACGGCAAGCACCATTATTTTGTTGATACGTTTAATATTCCTCATAGGAAAAAGATTGAAGAAGATATTATATTTCATGAATAAATATACAAAAAGCGCAAAAGTGTTTTAGAGATATGCTGTCTACATTGATTTCCGAATCGCTCATGCTCTTTACGTAATTAGCTGAGGCTGGCATTTTGTAGCCACACTAATTTAATGAAAGCTATAGACTTTGGCTATCATTTCATTGTCATCGGTACCCTGTGTGAGCTGTTGATTCTATATTTTCTTAATATTTTCAATGTTGGCCTGTCCACAGTATTCCTTCGAGAGCATTTTCCGCAGTCTTCACTTTGCCCTGATGGACAATTGCTGCCGAGAGTATCTGTTTGTCTCCGACTTCTTCATGGTATCCGGCACTGGGGCCCAGAATCTCTTTGAGAACATCATGGGGAAAACCCTCACCATGTTCCTGGTCAGTGCCCCTACTGGCTTTATATCTTTCTAATTTGATTGTTTTTATTGGTCTTAAATTATGGTTGTTTAGATTGAGCACATTATTTTTATATTTATTTTTGCCATTATTTTTATTCTAATAAATAAAAACAGAAATGGGTGTGTGTAACAAGGATTTGGTTGGTTTTAGCATCTAGAGCTGTCTGCTTTTGTAATGTTTGCTGAGCTGTTGTCAGCCGTGGAGCAAAGTTCAAGAGTAGTCACTAAGTGTGTTTTGTGGGTCTTTTTTGTTCCCTTCCAGAAACTGGTGGAGGACAGTGTGCAGGAGTGCTATGACTCTATCGGCATCTTCCTGTCGGCTCATGTTGTCTACCGCTACCAGAGCATCATGGCCAAGCGATCTATTCCAGCTCTGGACAGGTGAGTCAGCTCTGAAGGTCAGCGCATCGTTCTTTCATTTGTGGGACGTTGTCAGGCTGTTTTTCACTGTCCAGTCCATTCGGTGTTGTGCTGAGGGGTGACAGGGTAGTTCTCTCTCTGTATGTGCCCAAAATACTGCAAAATCCTACTGTAGTTGTGAACAACTCCAACTCTGATGGGCTTGTTGTCAGATTTCTTGTCTTTTATCTGTATCTCCGGTCTCTTTTTACCTGCGACTCAGGTCTTTTTTTGTCAGCAACTCGGGTCACTTTTTATCTACGACTCAGGTCACTTTAATGTTGTGACTGCCTCCCCACCCCCACTCCCCAGACATGATGCCCTAGTATTACAAAAGTCAGTTCGGGTGATTTGATGTTAGCATTATTGTTAGCTATAACTCAATCTCTCTATTGTCGTCTCTTTCTACCGCCCCCTTCCCCACCCCCTGCTGGCAGGTACTGGGAGACAATTCTGAGCAACCTGTGGCCTCGTTTTGAATACATTGTCAGCATGAACATCCAGAGTGTCCGGGAACGTGACCCCAACAAACTGGGCCACATCGACAACCGACCACACTATGTGAGTTGTAGCAGTAGCCTACCTTTGATCACCCTTTTTATTTTCTATTTTCAAAGAGGTTCCTATTTTTTAATAGTTTCTAATTTATAAGCCTTTTTAGAGATTCAAAATATTTTGAATTGTAAAATGTTATGGATCAGTGAATGTGTGCCTTTCATCAGGATACACATTCATTTGAGAACATGTTTTGTGAGTTCTGTTGCTGTAGTTTGTTGTTTCTCTGCACAATTAAAATTTTTTTTGGTTGTATTTTGACACTTGTTTTGAGATGAAAGATTGTTGAATTGTTTTGTCTAGACTCCCCATTGGAGCATTGCTGCGACATCTTGTCAAAAATGCCTTTAAAAAAAAATTGTAATGATTTACTGTTAAAAGTTTTGAACATACTCCATGTGAAGTAGAAGTATCTGTTATTTTGACCGTTAAACACCATCATTTGTAGTTTTGGTTTGATGAAAGGAAAAGTAAGAATATTTACCATTATAGCTCCTTTCATTTTATTTTTTTGTAAAGGTCACCCGCAGATTTGCTGAGTTCTCGGCAGCCATCGTTGGCATCAATGTGTCATATCCCAACGAGCGAGTGAATCGTGTCTTGGGTCAGCTGCAAGCCGAGGTCGAGAACTTCATCCTCAAGATGGCGGCCGAGTTCCCACAGCGGAAGGAACAGCTCATTTTTCTCATCAACAACTACGACATGATGCTCAGCGTGCTGGTGGTGAGGCTTCGCTCTGACTTTTTGCCCTTGCATACTGGTTTATTGTAGACTGGGTTCTTCTCAAATTGGTTCTTCATTGAACTGGTTTGTCAGACACTGGTTCATTATAAAATTGGTTTGTTACACACTGGTTCATCCGGTTTGTTACACTCCTGTCCATCATAACTTGGTTTGTCACTCACTGGTTTATTTTGAATTGGTTTTTCACATACTGGTTCATCATTATACTGGTTTGTCACTCACTGGTTCGTTTTATAAATTGTTTTGTCACGCACTTGTTTGTCACACACTGGTTTATCATAAACTGGTTTATGAAAAACTTGTTGATCATAAACTGGTTTGTCACATACTGGTTTATCATAGACTGGTTTGTGGAATACTGGTTCTTTATAAACTGATTTGTCTCAGACTGCTTCATCATTGAACTGGTTTGTTACACACTGGTTCATCCGGTTTATCAAGCACTAATTCATTATAAGTTGGATTGTCTCAAACTGGTTCATCATAAGCTGGTTTGTCACACACTGCTTCATTATAAACTAATTTGTCATAAAATGATTTGTCACAAGAACGCTGGTTCATTATAAACTGGTTTAGTGCACACTGGTTCATCATGAACTGGTTTATCTCACTCTGATTCATCTGAAACTGGTTTTTCATAAAAAACTGGTCCATTGCAAACTGGTTTGTCGCACACTGGTTCATCATAAACTGGTTTTTGGAAATCTGGTTCATCATGAATTGGTTTGTCACACACTGGTTTATCCTAAATTGGTTTGTCACACACTGGTTCATCCTAAATTGGTTTTTCATAAAAACTGGTCCATTGTAAACTGGTTTGTCGCACACTGGTTCATCGTAAACTGGTTTTTGGAACACTGGTTCATCACAAGCCGCTTTGGCACACATTGGTTTGTCTTATTTAATCTGTGTCATCGTTATTAATTATGTTCACTGTCAACTTCACACCATTTTATTGATTTGCCTGAAGTTACCAAAAAATGATTTAGCTCTTCAGACTATGACAGATTTTGTACTTTGTATTTTGTACATAATATGGCTGTATGGTTGTTCTATTATTTTGTGTATATTTTTTGTGTTATGTCAGGAGCGGACATCGGACGACTCAAAAGAGGCTGAGATGTACCGGGACCTTCTGGCTGCCCGCACGCAGGAGTTTGTGGAAGAAATCCTGGCCCCTCACTTTGGCGGGCTTGTCACATTTGTCAAGGACGCCGAGGTCTGTCTGGAGAGAGGTCAGAGTGACAGACTGCAGCAGGAAGAGAGTAAGTAGTAGACTCCCAAAGCTGGATTGATTTGGAGGGGGGGGAGGGGTTGTTCAATTCAATGATTTTTTTCTTTAAACTTATTTTTGTATTGCCTGTGGTATTGGATTTTTATTTGTTAGTTTGTCAGGTTGTATGTTTTATTTGGGGGGGGGGGTTGTTACATGTCATACTGTATAAGACGACGCCCGTCCAAACTGGCAACTTTTCTCCACTATAATGGATGGTTGTCTAAGAAAGTTTCCAACTGTAGTTCCAAGCTCGTGCCCGCCCAGTCCCAAGCGACTGCCAGCACATTTGGAACAGGCTCTGACATTTCCAGGGCAGGTGGAACCGACAGACAGAACTTTAAAAATTCGCATATATAAGCGGGACAGAATCGGCTACCTGTTGACAAGTCTACGCCTTTGACTTGGGGCTCATACGATCATCCAGCCCAGTGCATTTCAAGGCGGATACTAGAAACTAACAGGACATGGGGTCTAGGAAGCAACGGGTTTAATTAACGCCCTCCTCATTATCGCTATTTGGTTATTTATGAGGTGGAACCTCCGAATTTAATGTCCGTCTCCGATGGGACCGAGCCAAATAAGTTGAAAGTTTTGAAAAGTTCACAAAACAGCCCAAATTCAAGGACACCCAGTCTGGAATTCGAACCATGGCCATCCCCTCTATAGTCCAGCATGGAAGGGGGCCTAAATTATACACCTTAAAACAGCCTTGAAAAGCAAACTGTAATTTTAATGGTTAAATTGTTGCACACTAATCGACACTATTTAGATTACTTAGGAGGCATCTTCGACCTGCCTGTCAGAACCAACTCGAACGGGCTGAGCGGGATACAACGTCCCAGCAGAAAGTGAATGAATAAAATATGTACTCGATAAAAAGTCTCCATACAGGAATCAAACTTTTAACTAACACTGACCGGTTGAAACACTGGGTATTATTTGTTCTGTTTGTTTTTTTGTTTTGTTTTGTTTTTTGTTGTTTTTTTAAGGGGGGGGGGTGTTCCTGGTTAAGCCTTTTTACGGCACTTGCAACACAATTAGGTCATATATTATAAGTGCCGAAGCTTAGTAAAAAGCACCAAAAAAAAAAAAACACAAAAAAGTAGTAGGAAAGATAAGGACGATAGATGTTTGATAAGAAAAAAGGAGCAAACCACGCCAAAGCACCCGCCAACCACACATCTCAAAAC